AACTTTATTAAGTTATTAATTTTTTTATATTTAATAAAAAAAATTGATATAGAAAAAATTAATAGAAAAAGTTGTAAAGTAAATCAAATATAGAGGTAATTATAATTTTTTTTTCAAAATAAATAGAAAGAAAATTTTATGGATTAATTTTTATATAAAAAAATAAATATTAAAAATATCATTTTTACTTTCATTTTATTATAGTATTAAATTATGAAAATACATAAATAACTTTAAAAACTTTAAGAGGAAAAGTTTTTGTCCTGCCAAACACCAACTTAAGGATTTGCTGTAACCTTTTCTATTTGAGTAAAATTTCCATAAAATTGTCTTAATATGAAATCAACTACAAGTTAGTGGATGAAGCTGTAGCATATATATATTGATCAAATCTAACAATTAACGACTACAATTTACCCCCAAAAAAAAAAAAAAAAAAAAAGTGGGAGAGCACATTTTTTTTCATTTTTTAAACTTGAGTAATTTTGAGGATGTAGATATGAAACTCCGCCCCACGCTTAGGTGTAAAACCACATGGAGCTTTGTCTATTACGTGATTGTTGTCTAATGTGTAAAAAGTTCGTTCGAGTTTATTTTCCATTATAAATATCAACAAGAACAAAATGTGTGCACAACCTATTTAGGATGATTTAAAAGTTAAAAAAATTATAAGCATATATTCTTTAAAAGCTAAGGTAAATGATTGGAGATGAAAAATACTTAAGTTTTGTGATATGACGGTTTTATATTTTATATTAAGATGCATTATTAACCAATGAGGGGTTGGATTAAGTAGTAAACGGTTTGTTTCAGCTTAAGTAAGGTCTTGAGTTCGACATCTTATGTATACAGTAGTACCCGCTGGGAGACCACCTACTATTTCCAAGTTTACGACGCGAGTCGGGTCGGGATTAGTCGGGGCGAAACCTTAGATACCGAGCAGGAACCCAAAAAAAAAAATATATATTAAGATGCATTATTTCAGTTTTAAAGTTGGGATTCCAATCTTTTGCTCTTTAAAAAAAAAAAGAAAAAAGAGAAAAAAGAAGAAAAAGAAGAAAAAAGATTGAACCTCTACATTTAGAGCCATCCCATGCTCCCACACACACAAAGGAGTGTGGCCACTGGCCAATAGCAGTCACACGACAGGTGGACGTGGCACAGAAAGGGTCCTTGGTCAAAGCAGAACCTTACGTGGCATACCTGATGAAGCAAGATGCTACGTCATCAACTCTCATTCTGACGTGGCGCATGACCCCTTCCATGCTTCATCTGCACAGCACCCCTCTTGGACAAGTTCAAACATTTATTACATCACGAAACCGGGCCCTCATTTTTTTTTAAATATTAGTTTAAACCGTGTCTTAAGAAATATATAGTATTAAAAATATATTTTTTATTTAACAAAAAATAAAAAAAATAAAATTTTATTTTTAATAATAATAACATATATATAATTTTAATTCAAATTAATAAAATTAAAATTAATTTCTAGTTCTTTCCAATAAAAATTAAGATAATTTGATTTCACGATTTTATTTAATTTAATCATTACCTCCCCTTAAAGACAAAAAAAAAAAAAAAAACAGCCGAACTAGCCAATGTTTACCAAATCATTTTCCAAATTATTATTAAATATTTGCCCCTCTATTTTCCTTTGACTTCCTCTCACTTTAAATGGACTTTGTCCCCCCTTTAACCCTTTAGCTTAAATGTACATTAATAATGCCTTATTTTTCTTCATCATTTCATCCTAGCTTCCCTTGTCTCTTCATCATTTCATCCTTTGCTGCGCTTCCCCTTTTCCACTGCCGTTCATGGACCCCTCCGATTTTCCCCTCAACAATTCTCCCAGGAGGGAACTCCAGGGTCCCCGCCCTACCCCGTTGAGGGTCCGGAAAGACTCTTACAAGATCAGGAAGCCGCCGCTAGCACCGCACCCCTCGCACCCACAACAGGCGCCGCCGAGGCAGCCCGTGATAATCTACACCGTCTCGCCAAAAATCATCCATACCAACCCCAGTGACTTCATGAACCTAGTCCAACGCCTCACCGGCGCCTCATCTTCATCCACAGCCTTATCTTCCCCCGGTGTCTCCACCGCCTCCCATCCCTTCAACGACAACAGCGGCGCAATCTCACCGGCGGCAAGGTATGCTACTATAGAGAAGGCGAACAATTCTCCGGAAGGGAAGAAACAAGCTGATGAAAATATAGGGTTTGTGGAGGGGATAGAGATGGGTCCTGGGGTTGAGAGGACAAGTTTGTTTCCGGGGATCTTGTCGCCTGGACCGACGTCGCTGCCTCCGATTTCGCCAAACTTCTTTTCTCCGGGGTTTGATCCCAACTCTATCAGCTTCCTCCACGACTTAAGTCCTGTTGTTCATGGTAACAGGAATTTCATAGAGGGTAGCTTCATGCCCAGTCCTTCAAACTTCATTTATTCATATCCATCTCCATCTATTGACCTTTTCAATAATTTGTTTGACCTTTAAATTTAATTTTCATTTTGTATGGAAATTAAGATAGAGATTTAGAGATGATTTCATTTTTATTTCTATTTTTTGTATTTTATTTTGATTATTATTATTAATTTTTGGAGAGAAGTGAGGATGGATGTGTAATTGACTCTGGAAGGGGGGCAGATTAGAGAGGATGAAAGAATGAGGGACAAAAATGTAAAATTACATTGTTCGCCTTTTTGGTAGGTTGGCTAGTTGAAAGCTTCTTAATGGCATTATCTTCTTTCATTTTTAATTTGGTGGGTAGCTTGATTTAAATATTTTATTTATGATACCAATCTTTTTTTTTTTTTTTTTCCCCCTTGATACCATTTTTGTCATGCAGCCCTAATTCAGCATGTAGTTACACTGAAAATTCAAAGTCACATTTTTCTTCTATTGTTTACCTGCTTTCCCAAATATGGTGGAACTTGTGTATGTTAATTGCAACTTTCAAAATTAATGTTCCCCCAATGAAGGGAACTTCTTTTCCCTTTTTTCTTCTTTTCTCTTTTTTTGGTCTGATCCTAAAGAAATAATAATATTGCATTTCTTCCATATACTACATGTTTTTCTTCCAAACAGACAAGGGAGATTTGGTAGTTTCAGTCAGTTTTGCCATGACCAGGTTGTATTTCAATTATATGTTGGTTTATTTAGTTAGTTGATTTAGAGGTGCAAATTCTAAGCTTTAGCTTTTGTAGTGTTTTGGTACATTAGAAATTAATTATTTAGTGCCGTTTAGTACCCTTGTTATTTTTGGTTTTATTTTGTGCTTGTAAAAAATTTAAAAATGCTAAATTAAAAAAAAATTAATAATTCAAAAAAGGTTTCATTTTTGGTTATTAATTTTGAAAACTTGTACCAAATAAGTTGTTGATTTTAATTTTGGCTTTAAATATCAATTTTAGTTATTCAAATTTTGGCAAACAAAACTAAAAATGACATTGATAAAAAAAAGGAAAAAGAAAAAAAAAAAAAACCAAAAACTGACAATAATAACGTTACTAAATGGACCCTTAGTATATACAACTTTATACCTCTTTTAATTAAAATTAGTTGTCCCATTTTGCATTTACATATAATTACATCTTTTTTGTATATTATATAAATAATAATAATAAAAATTTTATATGTAGGTGTTATTGAGTAATTTTATTTGATAAAAAAAATTTTCAATTGTTATTCAGGTGTGAAAGTATTACTTAAAATTGCAAATAATGTTAAAGTGAGAAAACAAATTCTGAATGAAGTATTAGTCAGTAATGTTGTGTTTTTGTTTTGACATATTAAAACTTTGATATTATAAATCACTTTTTAAGGAAAAAAAAATCTGAGAAAAGTTCTTTTTTTTTTTTCTTTGTTGATTTTTTTTTTGGCCAATCTTTTCTTTTAATATTGAGGAAGTGGATTTAATTTGAACTAATATATTCACCTTAATTACAAATCAAGCTAGAAGATGAGAAAGGATTATTGACAAACACAATGATCAAAGGATTGTTTAACGTGACCTTTAGATCAAGTAGTAGATTAAGTAGTTGAAGAGTTAGAGGCCAAGACCTCACAATTTCGAGTTTATGAGTATGACTTTCATTTATACTGGATTTCTCTAAGGTTTTCATATTTATTTTGTATTGTAATCAATTAGTTGAATTTATATTGCGTAATCTTAAATTGATTTTATACTTTATGTAATAATAATAATAATAATAATAATAATAATAATAATAATAATAATAATAATAATAATAATAATAATAATAATTTCAGTTTTGATTTAAAAAAAATTAAAATCTCAACTTACATTTAAAAATTTAAAAATTTACCTTGTTGAATGTGGATATCTGAATTTAAAAAATTAATTATATATTTTAATATAATTAGTTTTTAAATTTATATACCAATATTTAATGAAATAAATTTTTAAATTTTAAATAAATTTTTAATTAAATAAAATAATATCATTTAAAATTAAAATTTTAATTAAAAAAATAAAAACTAATATACACTTTCTTTTAATAATAATAATAATAAATGCTATAATTTAATGTCATGACTTAAGGACAACGCTATGTGGGTTTGGGGTGGTGATTCTCTCACCAAAACTAGTAATTTCATATTTGAAATTTGCAAATTTGTCTTCTTTTTATTTCCTTTTATGAGTATAATATTGATAATTCTCTTCTCTTCCAACCTAAAATAGAATATCATACCTCCACTTTAACAACTAAACTAACCAAAAGCCTCATTAGCCTTTTGGGGGCCTTTAGAAAGTGACTTAAAGTTCAATTTATCATAAGAAAACATTATAAACAATAAAATTAAAACTATCTCCAATCCATTTGAGCAGTTGTTTTGACTTTTTGCACATAATTTAAAAAAGTGAAATTATTAAAAAAAATTACATATTAAAATAAACTGTTTAAGTGTTGTTTTTATATATAATTTGATAAATGATTGAGAAACAATTTTTTATATAATTTGTTTATATAACTTTACATATTATTTAATAAATAATTTTTTATACTTTACTTAAACTTTTAATATTACATATATAATATACCTATTCATTTAATAATTTATAAAAAAAAGTTATTCACATATCGTTATGTTTCTTATAAAGACAAGCAAAATGAATTAGAGATAATGTTTATCCTCAAACCCATATACCCCAACTTAGGGCATGTGTTCATTGTATCACCCTAAAGTGTCATTATCATTATTAGCGTAACATTAATGTTAATTAAGTATATCAATAACCACACCCCTAACTTGACTTCGACAAACACCTCGGCTCTCCTCTAGAAGGTCCAGAGTCTCGACTCTCCTCTAGAAGGTCCAGAGTCTGGTGAGGCATTTGGACACCCTCTGCTTTGCATAACAAAGTCAACAAACTCGAAACGACACTAAAGTCCAATCACTCCATCCATTTATTTTAATAGTAATCCCCATGTTTTTTTTATTCTTAAACTTTTCATATGTGGGAGCAGTTAATTGAAAACATGCTCACAAGGGTGGAAAAACAAAAATTTTTAAAGCCATCGAATTGACATTGTTATATCAATAAAAAAAAACCATCAAATTGTTTTTGAGTTTGATTTGTATATTTTAAGATTAATTTATTTTTATATATAATTTTAAAAATATGTTTTCATATTATTGTTATGCATTTAATCAAAATTTAAATATTTTAAAATATTAATTTTCAAATTTAAATTTTAAATTTACTTTATAAAATAATAATATTTATTTAAAAGTGGGATTAACCTGCAAAGCAGTTATCAAGAAACCAAAAGTTTGATTTGGTTTGCATGACATGAGCAGCCTGGGATATCATAATTTAATTCCTACTTATTTGACCTTTTAAAACGACCTAAAACATGGTGGTTCAATGGGATTATTTGCCATGCTTATTGGAAGTAATAATTTTTTTTAATTATAAAATTAAGGTAGATATGATAAATTTTGTTAAAAGATTAAGAATAATTAAGTTTTGATATTAATAATTTTCTATTAAAGTAAGAAATGAATGAAAAATATATAAACCTTACAATTTTTAAGGAATGAATATTCGTTTCTGATGAAAAGGAATGAATATTCTTAATTATTAGATAATGTGAAAGGAAAACTAGATATTACTGCCTAGTTTCCTGTAAACATTTCTGAACTTGTTTTTATAATTTAATTCAGGAAATAGCCACTACCATTAACCAAATAAAGTTTTAGTTTCTTAATTAATTTTGTCATCTAGACCAGTTCAATTCAATCCCCTAATTAGAATTTTCTTAGCCGTAAATTTTATGTTTCTTGAGAAAATTCAAGCATGATCTAATATTTTTTATATAGGTCAATTGAGCTGATTAACTAGGCACTTAAAATATTAAGATCTCTGGCTGCATTGACAATGTCTAGATTTTTTTTTTTTTTAATTTCTTTCGATAAGCTTGACAATGTCTAGATGGAATCCTAATTCCACAACCATTATACAAGTTCTAGAGAAGAAGCTAGAACGGAAAAGGGGAAAACACTTACACCATAAATGGGCAAAATTAAGATATCATACCACTAAAAGTTACAAAAATGTTCCTCCTTCCCTCCAAAATCAGATCACTCAAGCATGGAATCCATGAGATTGATTGAGAGAAAAACAAGTCCATCCATTTTCTATTTACACTACCAGCATGCAGTTGACTCAAGAGGGGGAAGGAGGGAAAGGGGGGGGGGGTGTTTGATATCAAGATTGATCTGTTCATGATTCATAAGCCACAAAGACCACCCACGAACGGGTGGATGAGTTGATAAAAGACTCTTTCAGTTTAACCAGAGATCTTGATTTCAAACCCTGATAATGCAATTCCGTTAAAACTCGTGAGGGAGAGTTTTGCTGCCCATTGGGTTCTATCCGACTCGAATCCGGATTAATCAGTGACCTAGTGGGCTTTTGGATACCAGGTGGTCTACACCAAAAAAAAAAAAAAAGCCACAAAGACCAAAGATGAACCTTCTTATTTCTGTGGTTATCAACATTTGTATTGCAGTCACATTTCCTACCCAGCAAATCTCTTCTATTCACTCTCAAACTAAAGAAAGAACTACAAAATTTTTTCACGAGGCGCATGTACATTATGATAAGCAAATTATGAGATTGATGCACCATATTGTTGCTTTAGAGGGCTAACAGGACTCTGAGAATGCCGAGCTGAAGCATCCATATGGTCTTTCACCACTGAAGGATCTACCTTTGCTAGAGGTTGCTTTCCCCTGAAGACCCCCCACAAATAGTACTTTGCCTGGAACCCTGCAAAATGCAAATCAACTGAGTTGGTTATTCCTTTCTCCTTAATATACCAAATCGACATATTTTATTTTCATACAAAAGGAAGAACTTGGCAACCAATCTGAATAACTAGATAGTGGGCTCACTCTTTAAGTACAGAGGCAGTATACTAGAGGTGAAAATTAAGAGTTCAGCATTATCAAGTATAACCTTCATGCCTAGATTTTGAGACATCATCTTATCGACCAGGTTGTCGAAAATCTTCTCAGTCCTGTAAACACCACAAAATAAATATTTACAGGTAGGGTGATGGCATAGAAAAACCATTTACAGATAGAGAGGGCTTGCAAAACAAATTAGGAAGGCAATGGAATGAGGGCAGAAGTTTTACCTTTCATTATCTGGGAAGAAATAGAGAGCAATACTATGATCACTCGGTCCCCACTTCTGAAAGCCTTTTGGCCACATACAAGATATTGGAAGCAATTCCAAGAAAAGCATTACAGGTAAAGTCTTTGCTGCCTCACACACTTTTGAGCATGCTAAGCATGATAAATGAGCCACCAGGCCTTCCACAGTACCAAAGTCTTTATCCTGAAGATGGAAACTTCCCCTGTCAAAAGTCAAGAGACAACCAGCCTCATTAGCTTACCAAAACCACATATGGAAGCATTAGCGTCAGAAATTACGTACTGCATGAACACATTCACAAAGTTCCATCTGTGGGCAGCCGTGCATGTATTAATCAATATCCATACATACATCTAGAAATAAGGGCAAAAGAAAAATCTTACATCCAGATTGGTTCCATGACTGGCTGTGCAGAATAGTAACTGTGCTCTGGTAAATGATCATTTGCAGCTACAAAAGATGTTTGAATGTTAACAGGTTTAGCCTTTTCATTGGGACAACCACCATCATTTTCTCTCCAACCATGGTGAAAAGAATTACCTCCTGAGTTGTTTGAGTGGTCATCAACTTCTAGAAGAGAGGTTTTAATTTTGAAAGATTCAGCACCACCAACACACTTGACCGAATCAGATATTCTCTGCTCAGGGATATAACAGTCCTCTGGAATAACTGAATGCAAAACAGCAACAGCAGTGGGGTCTTTAGCCTGAATGGATGTAGCCTTCTCCTTGTCAGAACACCTCCCATCCACCTCCAAGTTCACTTCCAATTTCTCATCATTATCTTGATTCTCACCACATTTAACCTCCTTGATTTCAAGCAAGGGGCTATTTTGTCTTTCAAGCTCTGATTCAGTTGACAAGGAAGCTTTGATTTCAATGGATACTGCCTCCTGATTAGAACAGCCCCCATCCACCTTCAAGTTCACTTCCATTTTCTCATCCTTGTAATGATTCTCATTGCAATTAACCTCCTTGATTTCAAGCAAGGGGCTATCTTGTCTTTCAAGCTCTGATTCAGTCGACAAGGAGGCTTTGATTTCAATGGAGGTTGCCTCCTTGTCAGAACAGTCTCCATCCACCTCCAAGTTTACTCTCAATTTCTCATCATTTTCATGATTCTCACTGCAGTTAACCTCCTTGATTTTAAGCAAGGGGCTACTTTGTCTTTCAAGCTCTGACTTAGAAAACAAGGAAGGTTTGTCCTCCATGCTCTTATTCTTCTTATTAGCATATAATTTTTCAGCCAGTTCTGTCCTTTTTAATTTCCTATCACAACTCTGCTTTTTCAATCTTTGACTAGACAGCTTTGCCATGGGAACATCTGAAATTGGCCTTGGTTCACAATCCTCACAAAACCAAACAACATCTTCCTTGAAACTTGGTAGCTTATCTAAGCAATAGCTGAACAATAACAAAATAAGGTAAAACAGGAAAGAAAAGAAACTGAGTGGTATTAATCCCCTAACGCTAAGGAAAACTAAAAAAAGGTGCCACAAAATGCTCTTTTATATTTAAATCAATACTCAAACTTATGCAATTTTTAAGTTACTTGTAGTGCTAAAATCATTTTGGTTGGTCTTCCCCAATACAAATGCAAATAGCTGCCTTAAAGACCCTTATATCAAGGTCTTATTTCATGTCCCTTCGATGTCTCTAAAACAAGCATCAGAATATCTGCATTATCATGCAGCATAAAACACGACAAAATTAGAAATTTACCGGTGCACAGCATAAATCTGACACTTTTGACAATATTCTAGAGCCTCAGAGAATCCCCAGCCACCACAAACCAGACAAAAAGTTACCTGCAGAACGACAACAAAAGTTCCCATACATGATTATGTTCCTGACTTACCATTTTCACGGATATCAATTATGTGAAAAATGAAACATCTAAATCATAAATATAAGCAATGACATCCTAGAAATGCACAAGCAGTTTACTGGATCACAATCATTCAAGGTATTACAATCCAAATCCCAAAGAATCAAGAATACACCAGATAACTAATGACACGTGAAGGAATATCACTAGACCACTACCAACTCATTTTTGTACATCAAGAAGACGCCTACGGTAAGAAGCACATGGGGCTAATTTTACTTTGACCATGCAAAAAATGAAGGATAACCTTATCTCTGATGAATCATACCAATGAAATCCACATAAAGAAGACCCACATTGTCATTTTCATTTTAACCCCTTCAAAAACCAGGCATTGCAAGGAAGTTCACCCCAAACCTCTGATTTCTAATCCATTGGATAAGGCACCAAAAGGGACCACAAATGTCAAAAGAAACCACTAAATAAGAAAACATATAGTACTTATTCGCACACTTGACACTCCAAAACCAGCATCACAGAATACTTTCCAAAGAACCCCAATTCCCCTAACAAAGAACCCACTATTTCTACAAGTCGCTACATTCCAAACACCCACCCCAAAATTCCAGACTAAACCAAGAAAGAAAGAGATTAACCATCATCAATTCATCTAAAGAAACAAACCCACAAACTCAAACCTCAAAAGAAAAAAACTCACCATAGTGGAGAAGGCGAGAAACTCAAGGACCCACTTTCAGCTTTGTCAAGAAAGTGGACATGTAAGAAGCAAATACTGTGGAAAGGTAAGGAGGTCATCAAGGGCTTTCAAGTAAAAGTAAGAGAATCCAGAAAAGAGAAAGAAAATCTCTGTCAATCATGTCAGGTTAAAAAGAATATTTGCAGTACCCAGTTTTGCGTACGTTCCCCCCCTTTGACCGTTAGCTTCCTTTTGTGAGTGTATTTTGAAAAAGAAAAATGAGAGAGAGCTTCGGCCGGGTTTGCGAACCAAGGCGTCTGAACTCGCTCCGGGTAACTGGCGTTTACGGTGTGACGACGGCCCAAAATAATGGGAATATCAAATATGGGATTATTACCATTTTTTTTTCATTTTATATCACTTTTTTTTATTTTTATCCTTTTACATAAAATGAAAAATCATGATGTTTTAACATAAAAAATGTAAAGTAGTCTAATTATAAGTAGTATTTATTAATGAATAGATATTAACATTAAAAATCAATAATAAATGCATATAATTAATACCGAACATGTCATATATTGTATGATTATAATTGAGTATTTTCAATTACAGAAATTAAAAAAATGTTCTAACATTTTAACATGTAAAATTATTCAATTCTCTTAATTCCTTCATGTGTTACTAATTTTTTAAAGCTATTTAAATTTTTGCATTTTAATTCTTAGCAACTAAGGCTAATTTTCTGCAATTCCTTTTATTTATAAAAAAAAAGTTATTTTATTGACTTATTTAAAAATAAAAATAATTTTGGCTTTTGAACTGCATGATGAAAAGTAACTTCACTATTTAGATAATTAAAGGTTAAATGCTCAATTTGGTCCCTCAACTTT